GAGGACCTCGGTCATCCTACCGGTCAGTTGGTCCGCTTTGATTTGCCTCTTTGGACCTCTAATTTCGAGGATAAGAGCCCCCGTGACCGCCCTTCGTGCTTGCAGTTCATCGATCTGCATCTCCTCTACATTGATGTTCTGGCGCATCATCGCCATCGCTTCCGCGAGAGCATCCTGCGGCGCAGTGAGAGTGATTGCCGCGGTCCTAGCTGGAACTCTAGAGGGCTTGCCCTTAGTTGGTATTGAAGATTTCTGCCCGCGCTGATTCTTCCAGCCGTTGCCCGTTTGTCATTTCCCAAGGAAGAACGTGTGGCGCCTTGACGCCGCTTCCGCTCTGATAAGGGGAGCCGTCTTCCTCTTCTCCTTCCTGCCTATCATCAGAGACCACTGCTCGGGCTGTCGCACGTATCACAGTGGCAGAGAAGGGAGTGGCTTTTTATTTCCGTCTCCTACTGTTCGATCCGCGATACCCTTTTTTTTAATCAATGTCTTGGCCCTCTTGTCTGCGAGAGACCTTGGCACGATGCCATATCTCGTGAGGATCCGCGATAGTGTCTGTTCGATTGCCCTATCGAGCAGATTCTCCTCCGTGGCTGTTACTCACAAAGGACTTCCTCGCCGTTTTGTGCAGCGACTTGGGGGATATCTTCGGGAGTGCAAGAGGTGGGGCCACTCTATAAGTGATGACCCCTGGAGCATCATCTAGCACCTTCTTCCTTCTCTGGATCGAGGACACTGATAGATCTTCCTCCATATCCACCTTGAGAATTCTTCCTCTAGTCGTCGCAGTGGATATTTTGTCCCCAGTGCCCGCCACCAGAAGCCCACAGAATCAATGATATAGCTTTCGCGAAGCTTTATTCTTTCACGACGTGCCTTCTCCATATCTGCAAGCCTCAGTTTATGGAACCTTCTGTTTTCCTCCCGCAATCGGAAGATTTCCCTGTCCTAATTATTCAGCGGGGAGGGGTGGATGCCCTCCTAGAGAAGACTTTACACGCTACCGTGAGTTTCGTCACAGCGGTCCAGAAGTAGTTGACAATCTCTCCTTTAATATTTTTTAATATTTTTATCGCTCCATCGATCTAACAATAGAATCAATACCAGAAACAGTTATGCTGATGATCGACATGAAGGGCTAATAATCAAGCTCCTCGATCAGTTGTCGTGCTTTCGCGTTTCGCTTAACGCTTCTTTTGGTAATAGAAGTGGTCGACTTCTTTCAGCGTTTCAAAATTGGAGATTTCGATGTTGCAGACAAGGAACACGGAAAACCGCCCAAAAAGTACGAAAACGTGAATTGCAAGCATTGCTGGATAAAGATGATTCACAAACACAAAAACAACTCGCAGAGCAATTGAGCGTTAGTCAACAAGCTGTTTCCAATCGCTTACGAGAGATGGGAAAGATTCAGAAAATCGGCAGATAGGTGCCACATGAATTGAACGAGAGACAGATGGAGAGGCGCAAAAATGTGAAATTTTGTTCGAACGATACAGAAGAAAGTTATTCTTGCATCGTATCGTTACTGGGGATGAAAAGTGGATTTTTTTTTAATATTCCAAGCGCAAAAAATCATGGGTAGACCCAGGCGCACCATCTACATCGACTGCAAAACCGAATCGCTTTGGCAGGAAGACGATGCTGTGTGATGCTGGTGGGACCAGTTAATACCAAACGCTATCAATTGATCGATTTGAACTGTTTGCTGCTTAAAAAACGACGAATACCAAAAGAGACAACACAAGGTCATTTTTCTCCATGACAATGCTCCATCACATACGGCAAAACCAGTTCGGGACACGTTGGAAGCACTCAGTTGAGAAATTCTACCCCATGCGGCTTACTCACCAGACTTGGCTCCTTCCGATTATCACTTTGCATTGATGGGTCACGCACTTGCTGAACAGCGCTTTGGTTCGTACGAAGATGTGAAAAAATGGCTCGATGAATGATTCGCGGCAAAAGAGGAAGATTTTTACTGGCGTGGTATCCACAAATTGCCCGATGGGCAATTTGTGGATACCACGCCAGTAAAAAGATGGGAAAAATGTGTAACTAGCAATGGAGCATACTTTGAATAAATCTCTTTTTATCATTCTTCCGAATTTAACGTGTTTTT